ATGTATGATATTTATTTTTTGCTCAGAAAAACAAAAACAAAAATACAATTACATGAATTACTTTTCTTTCTTTTTTTTTAGAAAAACAACAACAATTTCAAGCAGTATTGTTTTTATGCTTCAACCCTTTTTCGTCTTTGACTCGTATATATGTATATACTTTTTAATATATTTTTAACAAAATGAATGCATTTATTCAGCAAAGGTGCATTCAATTGATCAAAAGTGATAGTAAAGACATTTATAATGTTACAAAAGATTTGCGTTTCAAATAAATGTATTGTTACACAAATAATTATTTGCAAAAATATTAAGCAGCTCAGCTCTTTTCAACAGTTGTGTAATAATAATAATAATAAATAATAATCATTAATAATATGTTTCTTTAGCTCCAATTCAGCATATTAGAATGATTTCTGAAGGATCATGTGACACTGGAGTAATGATGCTGAAAATTCAGCTTTGCATCACAGGAATAAATTACATTTTAAAATATATTCAAATAGAAAAAAAGTTATTTTAAATCGCAGTAGTATTTCACAATATTGCTGTTTCTACTGTACTTTTGTCTTGCTGAGAATAAGAGAATTCCTTCAAAAACATAAAATCTGGCGACCCATAAACCTTTAAACTGTAGTGCATTTCATTACAAAAATACATGTTTTCATTCGATAAAATGCAACATGGAGACTTTTGGGAAACTTTTGAATGATGACCTGAACAAACCAAATGAACTGAATGAATGAAATGAATTGGGTTTCTTCACACATTTCAGACAGATTGAAACTGAACACATACTTTGACACAAATAAACCCATATGTTTTGATGCTTTTATGTTCACAGGAGAGTGTGAGTGCGCTCAGGTGGGACCCTACCGGTCATCTGCTGCTGTCTGTGGGTCGCTCTGAGGTGGTGAAGATCTGGGGTCGTGCCAGCGGTGCGTGGCTCACCCTCCACTCTCTGTTCCACACGGGCACAGTCAACACGGCCGATTGGTGCCCTCTGCCCGGGAGAGGACCGGAGCCTCGTCTTATGATGGCAGTGTAAGTGTGCCATATGCTTAATAATCATCACAGCGATTTTCAGAACCAGATGCCCACCTACTTTAGTATTTAGCAAATTGTTGGGGGTGTTACTACTCATTTCACTCCCAAAAAAGCCATTTACATGTAGAATTCTTAAAATGGCAATGCAATGGAAATAGAAACCAGTGTTATTTTATAGTATCACTGAGACGCTAGTACAGTTTTTGTTAATATTTTGGAATTTTTAAAAAATATTTTCTACTTTCATATTAATTTTAGTTAAAGTTTTAGTAATTTTGTTGTGTGTTTTTGTTGTTTTTAAATATGTCTGTATAGTTTTAATGAATTTTTATTTCAGTTTTAGTTTCATTTATTTTAGGACATCAAGTTAAACTAAATGAGAAATGTTGCAATGGAAGTTTTTTATATTATATTTCATCAATGGAAGTTTTTTTATATTATATTTCATTAAAGTAACATTTTTATTTTTTTTGTCAGCTATAATAACCCAGGTAGCAACAGATTTTTCTTCGATATTATGACAAATCAGAGTGTAACAAATTATAAAAAATAAAAAAAAACAGCGTGACATTTTAATTCAACAATACAATTTAAAAATGTATTAAAAATAACAAATACACAGGTAAATTGTTCATAATAAGAGCTGTGACATTCATTTAGATAATAGATAGTAAAAGAACTTTTAGAACAGAAGTAAAAACCTAAAGGTCAAAGAAAGGGTGGAAAATAGACGAAAAAGTGTAAAATTAAATGGCGACTTTGGTGGGAGAAACATTAACATTATAAGTAAGAATCAAATCAAGTGGTCTTAAAATGTTACAAAAGTGTATAAAATGGCACTATTATTATTTTTCACACCATTAACGTGAAGATTGGGTACAAGATATCTCAGAGGAGAGCTTTAAATGAGTACTTCATGAAGTATTTTTAGGATATGTAGGCATTTATCGGTTATATTGGTACTCAAGGATGCACAGGTGTCTAATCCATCATCTAAATGTTAAGATGTTCCTTTATTTCCTCAGTGGATGTCAAAATGGCCTCCTGTATGTGTGGAATCTTCCTCAAGGTGGCGCTAATGTCTCGGTGCCCAATTTCCTCACCCCGTCTACCAGCCAAGACAAGAGCAGTGCCATCAAGGTCAGAATGATTTATTTTTGTTTTGTTTTTTGGGGAGATAATTTAGCCTTCTTATTTATTGCCTGTTTAAACTCGCCTTTTAATTCACTTTCTTACTGTTAGATTATTCGTCACTAAATGTATTTTTTGGAGTTTGTTAGGACAGTTTAAGGAAGCTGAGTGTGTGTGTGTTTTTTGTGGTTTAGCGAGGCAATGCTAAATGTGTGTTCCGCCTGAGTGGACACATTACTGCGGTAAAGACCCTGTCATTTTGTCCCAGTGGACTTGCACTCGTGTCTGGAGGAATCGGAGGGGTGCTCAACATCTGGTCTCTCAGGGTGAGTCAAACGTTTCTTATAGGTATTTCTTTTATTAGCTTTACAAAGCTCCTGTTTTTGATTGTAACTCCCCTGTGTTCTAGGATGGTTCGGTCCTGCAGACTGTGGTTACAGGAATGGGCTCTGTGGTTTGTACCACCTGGATCCCACACATAGGGGTGACCGCTTGTTCTGGAAGATCAAAGGTACCGAACACTTTCTGAAAAAGTGTTTAATTCGGTTCATGTTTAATTTAAAAATATGTAAGTAATGTTTAATTCTGTTTCTCCTATCTCAGGATGTTTTGCTAATTCGCTGTACCCCGGACTGGATCTCTCAGAATCACGTTCTGGCCTCCTGCCGTTCCGTTCTACGCAGTCAGGGCATTCTGGGATTGAATCGTGCCCCCTGCATGGCCGTCTTTCTTGAGCGCCTTCCCACATTGCTTCAGGAGCAGTACAACTATGAGAAGGTACATGCAGTTTCTCATCAAAACTGAAAACTCAACATTCACTAAATCTGTTATTTTTTAAAAGACAAAGAATAAATAAACACACTAAAGACTAGGGAAAACTATATTTAAAAAAATTATGGCCTCAAAGGGGGAAATTTTGCTATGATCTTTTACTATCCCTTTAAGTTAGTGCTAGATAGTAATCTAAATAACAAAATCGGCAAAAATACTTATATCCGCACTCGACTATTTTATTTTCTATTTATCATTTTTCTAATTGATATCGGCCAATAAAATACAAATCAAATTAAATGAAAAATTGCTAATATTTACAAAATATAGTCACATACAAAATTAAAAATATTCAGGAGATATTCAATCTTTTTTATCAGATATCAAATTGAAAGATTTTATGTAAATGTTATTGTTGTTATTTTTTATTTATTTTTGTTTTGTTTGTTTGTAAATATAATGTTAAATTATTGTATCAATTCATTAAAGTGATATTATTATCATTTTACATTTTATTATTTTTGAGTTTTCCATGAATATAACATTTGATGCTGAAAAGATGTTAATTGAAATACAATTATACTCCATTTAAATTAATTTGGAGTACCTTTATGGGTAGATTTTGATCATAAAATGTGCTTATAAAACAGGAAAATCTGTAGAAGTGCGCTTTGTTTTGAAATGAGTTCTTGAAGTCTTCTAGAATGCTGTAGAAATGACATAACTGTATTCATTTCATTAGAATAACTGACACATACTGTACATATTTGCCTCAGTTCTGATCCAGTCTGAGTTTCTGCTGAGGCTCAGTTTGTTCTGCTGGCATATTGACTCTTTGCCCAGTTTTGCTGCAGAGTTTCACTTAACAGTCTCTATTAACAGCTCATTATTGTCCTCGGTTAAACAGCAGAGATCTCCTGCAATCTGCAGTCTGCTGAGGAGAGACCAGAGTCAGTCAGTTACACTGCAGCTCTCTGGGTCAACATCACCTCAGTGCCACCTAGTTTTACTTCCTACTTCATCAATTTATGTTTTAAAATGTATTAAAATAGACGTAATATTTCACAGTATTCATAATAGTTCACAGTATTACTGTTTTTACTGTATTTTTGGTGAGCTTCTTTAAACAACAAACCTTAATTATTCCATAATTATTTATATGAAAATGGTATTCTCAGTGCATTATAGATATTATATAAAATCATATCCTTTCATGTGTGTGTTGTTCCTCAGAGTCATGTGATGGCGGGCGATCAGTTGACCCACAGTGCCTTTCTTCAGAGTCTGGCCACTCTGGCCATGGGTCTCTTTTTGGATCAGTTACTGTGCCGTCAGCCCAGACCGCCTCATCACAGCGGGACGGGGCCGGGGCCGGATCAGGACGGGGCCCCTGGATCCTTCTGCCCCTCAGAGTGGAACTGGCTTTCCATCTATTCAACCACAGTGAAGAGCGCAGAGGCGTTTGCTCGTGGCACCGCCTTCCCAGAATCCTTCATTGCACCTGAATTCCATCATTCTGGATCCACGGAGTTGACCAAACCATTGGTAAGATGCAAAGGAATTAATCCTTGTGAAATACTTGAAGGATATTTGTATATCTGCTTATAATGTTAGTAAGGTTTCTTTGCACAAAAAAACAACATCATTTATTCGAGACCTTTTTTGACTCTTGTTTTGACACTTGGAATATTAAATGAGCTGTTTTTGCTGCTTTACTTTTAAGAAAAGAAGAAATACATAAGGATTAAAATGAAAAAAAGAAATTCAAAGTCAAGTCAAATAATAAAAAATGACAGACTAAGTAAGCATAAAAGGAAACAATGAAAATAATGACAATACTAGTGCAATCAGTATGGGAAAAAATGCAGTAAAGTATAAAACTAATATATATAAAATTTTTATTTTATAGTTTTTCCTTTAACCTTTTTATATTTTTTCTGATTTTCATGTTATTTTTGGAATTAAATGTTGTATTATGATTCGTTACAGTGTATTATAGTAAGGTAAAACTGAAACTAAAATGAAAACAACAATAAACATTTTTATTATTTAAATAAAATAAATATATTTAAAAATATATATTTCAGCTAGTTGCTAAGGCAACATTTTTCAGTTTAGTTTGTTGATGTATTAAAATAACTAAAACTAAAACTGAAATAAAAATAAATAAAAACATGTACATGACTAATGTGTAATGTACAAAACATACAACAAAATTACTCAAACTTTAACTAAACTGGTTCAAAATATTAATAAAATCTATAATAGTATTTCAATGACACCAGAATTCCTTAGCTGAGCTCAGAAAATCCTGTTTTCCACAATATGCCCCTTAAAGGTTATTTTGATTTATGCAAAGGGTCTTTTGTTCTCCTTCCAGGACAACAGTAAATGGACCTTCATGATGGATGAACAGCTCATGTCCTGGGCGACCAGCAGACCTGAAGTAAGTCTGTGTGTTCCTGAACGTGTGTGAGGTTTAGCAGATATGTGGAAGTGTGTGTTAAGACATCCGGATCTTCCTTCATCTCCCTCGTTCGTCTCTGTCAGTATAGCCCCTGTGTTCAGCATTGTTCTTTCAGGCAGATTTTTATCACTCTTCACGTGTTTTTATTCATTCAGCTTTTATAAATTACCCCTCACAAACCCTAGCAGCCAGCGCCACACAAAACCTGTCTCTACTTTACATAAAACTCCTTTCCTCATTATTTAAAGCATATCTCTATGCCTATTTTACTTTTACAGCTTGCTAAATTGGCTTGAGATTGCATTAAAGGAATAATGTTTTTGTAATGTGTATAAAGGAAATATTATTGTATTTAACAGTGCTTTAAACATCTTTTTTTTTTAATCTAATAAAGTCATGTTTGTGGTTTTGACAGGACTGGCAGCAGGGTGGTAAAAGTGAGGTGTATTTGTGGGGTAACGGACGTCACGGGCAGCTGGCGGATGCTGGAACCAGCGCGTCTGTGCCCACACTCGCTCCCTCTCTCTCGCAGACTCAACAGGTAGATTATCAACACAAAACACATGCAAAGCTACCACAAAAAGTTTACATGTTCATTTAAAAAGAGATGTTCTCTCCATTTATCTCTGCTAGGTTGTGTGCGGTCAGAACTGCACGTTCCTGGTTCAGGCTAACGGTACGGTTCTGGCTGTAGGGGAGGGCAGTTACGGGCGACTCGGACAGGGTAACTCAGACGACCTCTACACCCCAACTATCATCTCAGCTTTACAAGGTAATGCAAACCACAGCAAACTTGTTTTCAGGCCAGTGCCAGTAATATGTGTAGTACACAGATGTAATTTACACATTAAATCTGGGGGAAAAGGTTGAAAATAGTAAGAGTTAATTCACATAAAAAAGTCTTATATTAGTTTTATTTAATGAATACATGAAAGTTTCATCTCATTTTAGAGCTTTTTAAAGTGACATATAACTGTGGCTGTCAATTAAATAAAAAAATATATTTTATTTTATTAATAAAATAATAATAACATACAAAAACCAACATAAATAAACAACTTGATAATAACAAATAACATGATCAGCAAACAATATAATAATAAATAATAAATAACAACAATAATAATAATAATAATAATATAATATTTATATTATTATTAATAATAACATACTTTTAATCTATTTTTAATAACATTGTAACTATATAGTAATTATAAATAATAATAATGACCTATAAAATATTATTATTATTATCTGAATTTTAACACATTGTATTAAACTTGTGCTGGGAATAAGATTATATTATTATTTGTTATATATTGGAAATAAGATTAAGATGATGATGATGATGATTATTATTATTGTTATTATTATTGTCTATTATTATTATTATTATATTAATTATTTTATTATTTTTATTATTTAATAACCTCTTTATCTATATTTTTCTAATAACTTGTTGAAACTATAATTATATAATTAATAATAGTTTAGGTTAAAATATTTTTGTAATACTTTTTTCAAAAAGAAGTCTTATTTTTAAAAACAAAAAAATAAAATAAAAAATTATTATTATTATTATTTTATTAATAATTTTATTATTTTTATTATTTAATAACCTCTATCTATATTTTTCTAATAACTTATACTGTAACTATAATTATATAATTAATAATAGTTTAGGTAATAATAATAATATAATTGATAATAATAATAATAATGACCTCTTAATATATTTTTCTAATAACTTATTGTAACTATATAATAATAATAATTAATAATTATAATGACCTATAAAATATTATTATTATCTAAACTTGAACTCATGCATATATAAAAATGCATGTAATATATATTGCATCTATTACATGTCATTTTTTTCCCTAATAGGTTATGTAGTGACTCAGCTGGTGACATCATACGGGTCTGATGGCCACTCATTGGCTCTCACTGAGACCGGAGAGGTGTTCAGCTGGGGTGATGGGGATTATGGGAAACTCGGCCACGGGAACAGTGAAAGGCAAAGGCGACCCAAACAGATCGAGGCTCTGCAGGGAGAGGAAGTGGTGCAGGTAAAGAAAATGACTGTCCAAGATAATCACCAAAACCATCACATGATCAGATTTCAGAAGATTTCTGATTCTGACATGATCAGATTTCATTTGAACATCATTTCCCTCTTTCAGCTGGCGTGTGGGTTCAAACACTCAGCCGTCATCACAGCGGACGGAAAACTCTTCACCTTTGGCAGTGGAGATTCTGGACGCTTGGGTCAAAGGTCAACTTCAAACAAGATGGTCCCGGAGAGAGTGACAGCACTGGATGGGTACCACATTGGACAGGTGCTTCTTCATTGTTTGGACTTTCATTCTAATGTGCGTATATGACCTTTGACCAGCGCGTGATGAGTGAAGATGACCTTTTCTGTCGTGTTTAGGTGTCATGTGGTATCAATCATACTTTGGTCCTGTCATCAGACGGCCTGAGCGTGTGGGCTTTCGGAGACGGTGATTATGGTAAACTGGGTATTGGACCATGTACAGTGAAATGCTACCCACAGGTACAGTCTTACTGATTGATCAGGTACATTTTCATTCAAAAAGTTTGAATTTGGTAAGATTTGTTCATATTTTTGAAAGATGAATATTGTGGTCACCAAGGCTGCAATTATTTGACCAAAAATACAGTAAAAACAGTAATTATGTGAAATATTAATACAATTCAAAATAACTGTTTTCTATTTTAAGAGGTTTTAAAATAGAATTAATTTTTGTGATGCAAAGCTGAATTTTCAGCATCATTACTCCAGTCTTCAGTGTGTCTTCAAATGCTGATTTGGTGCACAAGAAACATTCTTATTATTGACAAAACTTTCTTTGATGAATTAAAAGTTCAAAAGAACAACATTTATTTGAATGCTTTGTAACATTATAAATGTCTTTACTGTCACTTTTGATCAGTTTGATGCATCCTTGCTAAATAAAAGTAATAATTTCTTTCAAAAAAATAAGTCTTACTGACCCCAAACTTCTGAAAATCAGTGTGTTTTTTTTTTCATTGGCTGATTGTCCTGGGTTTCTATTCGTTGTTAGAAAGTGGAGGCTCTTTGCAATAAAGGCATTAAAAAGGTTGGATGTGGAACACATTTCTCAGTGGTTCTGGCCAAAGATGGACACGTCTACACATTCGGCCAAGGTAGACCCTCCAGAAATCATCATCATCATCATCATCATCCAAATGCGTTTGTGTAAATGTGGCATCATTTACATTTACTCTATTTTGATTCTAGTCTGAACCAATTTTTCTCTCAAAAGAATATTTCGATCGTAAAGCTGACTGTGTGTTTTTCAAATGACCTTTGTGATGTTGAGAAAGCCCTTATATGCATGTATGTTTTCACAGAGCGTCTGATAGGTCTGCCGGACTCCATGCTGAAGAGTCACAACCGGCCGCAGATCATTCCCGCTCTGGAGGGCGTCTTCATTGAGGACATTGCTGTGGGCTGTGAACACATCCTTGCTTTATCCAACACTGGAGACGTGTATGCATGGGGCTGCAACTGTGAGGCCCAGGTACTGTCAGCAAAGATGTTTTCTGTGGATATTTGAGAATCTGTGAATATTTAGTGGAGCTCATGTCCTCTTTGTGTGTATTGCAGCTGGGTCTGGGCCATTCCAATCCTGTCAAAGAGCCCACTCTGGTTACTGCTCTACAGGACAAGAAGATCAGGCAGATCTCGGCTGGACGCTGTCATACCTCGGCCTGGACCACACCGGCTCTGTCAACCAGAGCTTCAGGTACAAACAAATCAGTGAGCTGCATTGGAACTTCATAAGTAAACTGTTTGAAATCATCTACATGGGTAACAGCTAATAATGTTTACTTATATGGACCATACAACTAGCACTGTTCAATAGTAAGTTCGTTCTTATTGGTACTATGAAACAAAATTGCAAAAATTAAAGTTTTAACATTTCAAAAATTAAAAATGTTTTTGTTTTTTACAGAAAAAAATCAACAAAATCCTAAAAATGTCAATGAATTTGTATAGTATTTATAATTTTTTTAAAGATTACAATTCAAGTGCGCACATCCAGCAGGCCAAAAGATTTATTATTTTTTAAAGAAATTAATGCTTTTATTCATTATATATACCAAATGTCAGTAAAACATTTATAATGTTACAAAAGGTTTCTATTTCAAATAAAGCTGTTATTTTGAACTTTCTATCCTAAAAATCCTGGTTCGCTTATGTTGTTTCCACAACATAAGCAGCACAGCTGATTTCAACATTAATAAAAATAATAAATTGTTTCTTGAGCAGCAAATCAGCATATTATAATAATTTCTGAAGACTGGAGTAATGATGCTGAAAATTCAGCTTTGCATCACAGGAATAAATTACATTTTAAAATATATTTAAAAAGAAAACTGCTATTTTAAATTGTAATAATATTTGACAGTATTACTATTTTATTTTATTATATTTATTTATATTTGATCAAATAAATGAAGCCTTGGCCTTCTGTCAAAAATATTTATAAATATTACCGACCCAGACTTTTGAATTGTATTGTATATTTTCTAGTTATTCTTGTCTCTAAAATATTTAATCGACTAATTGCTTTTTAGTACAGTCTCTACAAATATGATTTATCCAGAAGCAACAAACAACAGGCAGACTCATAGAAAATCCTGAAAATATATTGGTCAAAAGCTATAAACCCTGTAATTCAGATATGCAAAATGTTTCTGCTGAATCCTAGCATATCTCAGCAAAAAGCAAAAAAAAACCTTCACATCTCCACAGACTCTGACCTCATCAGTGAACATCTGTTCTAGGATCAGTTCCTCAGCGGTTGGATGTGAGATTTGTTTTTGCATTTCATGTCAACAACTCTGACTGTGTATTTTGCAGGTTGTTCAGGGATACAGCTGGGTCTGCCTCAGTCCGTGCCTCCGCAGTATAACGCCCTCAAAGACTGCAGCCCTGAAGTGCTAAACACCCGTCTCAGAGTGCTGTACCACTTCTCTGATCTTATGTACAAGTCCTGGAGGCTTCTGAACCTCGACCCCCGCAGTCAGGTACGCCAATCAATAATAAAACAAACACACACACATTCACGTGAATCACAGCATTCGCTGCTGATGTTTCACTGGGAAAAAACTGTACTCTGACTCCCTGCCAAGAACCTTTCATCATTTTCTAAGCTCAGCTGATTTTGTGTCCAGTGTGAAAGTGTTCCTTGTTACGGTTCCTGATTTTTACCTCCAGACTAATAGGTCTGTGTCGGTCGATATCCGAGCAGAAGTTTTGTCTGACAGTGTCACTGTCTGGCTGGTTTCCAGGTAAATGCTTCCCGCTACAGCTCAGGTACCGCTGCCATCGTACAGGGCCAACTCAGAGGCCTCCTGTCCCCGAAAGTCAACACACTTCCTCTCGTTCGCACTATTGGCAGAACCATGACCCAGGGAAAGACCTACGGTCCCCAGATTACAGTCAAACGGATCTCCACCAGGTATGAGCTTTTAACCAGGGCTGCACAATTAATCAAATTCACGAATTCACCGAAATCACAAAATGGATTAGCGGTACTGTCAAAAGGCTGTGATTTAATGAAATAAATAAATGTGCTGCGTGATTCTGAGCGAAATGCAGCACTGTGTTCTTTTACATGCAGGCAGCTCATGAGCTGGTGTTTTCAGCGTTTCAGAGTGTTTCTTTTTTATTTTTGTAATTATTACTTTACAGTGGAGTATTACAATAGTAATAATGAACAATATTTATTATTATTATTATTATTTTATAGACACTATTATTAATATTATTATTATTATTCTTTTCTGAACCTGAGCTCCATGTAATGTACTTGTGAAGGAAAATATATATATATATATCATTTAATAATGTTTTAAAATAAGACAAATTAAGCATTAAATAAGCCAAAATACAGCAAAAACATCAAGATATTTCTTGATAAGTCTAATTCACAGTAACTGTTTTTAAGTGTGATTTTCTTTGTAAATAAAAAAAAAAGTATAACTCCATGGCTATTTTTGTGAATATTTATTTTTCTAGTTATTTTCTAGTTATTGTGTATAAATTGAGTAAATAATTAAAAAATAATAATTCTTATCCAGTTAATCATGAAAAACTTAAATTCATAGGGCATTTGAATATTGCTATGTACTATTAGGCCTTGAAGTCAAAAAGTTTCAGAACCACTGGATTACAGGAACACAGGAAGTGTAGGAAATGTATAAATGGATAGTTGATAGACAGTGTTTGTTAACTGCCTGTTTGAGCTACATATATATATATTTTTTTGCCAAGATTTAAACTATTTACCTGAAGTACCTAACCTTGTCCTCCAATCCACAGGGGGCGCTCTAGCAAGCCTATTTTCGTGCAGATCGCCAAACAGGTGGTGAACCTGAACCCTACTGAGCTGCGTCTGCCCTCCAGAGCATGGAAGGTGAAGCTGGTTGGAGAAGGGGCGGATGACGCCGGCGGCGTTTTTGACGACACCATTACCGAAATGTGCCAGGTAAGTCCATTTTCTTAAAAGGGAGGGTTGCTTTCACGTTCAGGCATCCAAAACCGAATTCTCTTTTCCCAGGAGTTGCAGTCAGGTGTGGTCGAGCTTCTCATTCACACTCCTAACAGCTCTGCAGATGTTGGTAGCAACACGGACAGGTATGTTGTAGATGATGAAATGCATAAGCAGAATGTATAGCGATTATGTATTTTTGTAGGCTAAACCAGAAGGTAGCTTCACCCTGGTTTCCTCAACAAAAACCCAGTAGTTCTTGATTTTGGTCTACAAAAATATGTCATCCCTGCAGCACTCTATTTGCTCTAAATAGAAAGACTGTTTACTACTAACCTCCATTGTCTGGACAGGTTCTTGCTGAACTCAGCAGCAGCCTCGGATGATCACATGGTGCAGTTTCGCTTCTTGGGGATCCTAATGGCGGTGGCCATTCGAACCAAAAAGCCCTTGGATCTGCACCTGGCGCCGTGGGTGTGGAAACAGATGTGCTGTATTCCTCTGGCAGCCGCTGACCTGGAGGAGGTGGACCTGCTCACGTACCGCTCACTTCAGGGCATTTTACACCTGGACAACAGCGTGATCAATGAGGAAAACTTCACAGTGGTGAGGCACACAGACCCGAGACCAGCAGAGATCATCCATTCAGACATGACTTTCTCACTCTTTTATTCTGGATTTGTAGATGATCCCTCTGGACTCGTTTGTGGCTCACAGTGCCGATGGCACATTGGTTCCGGTGATTCCTGGTGGGCATAACGTCCCTCTGACATTCTCTAACAGGAACGATTATGTGGAGAGAGCCTTGTACTACAGACTTCATGAGATGGACAGACAGGTATCTGCCTCTCCTCCAGACACTTAAGAATTAAAATGATCTTGGCTATACATCTCACTTAAAGGAATAGTTCATATAGACTGATCTTGCATGCTGACAGTACATAATGGTAACGCAGTTTTTGTGTGTATGTAGGTGGCAGCAGTGAGGGAGGGCATGTCCTCAATCATCCCAGTCCCGTTGCTTTCCCTGCTCACGGCTCGACAGCTGGAACAGCTGGTGTGTGGCTTGCCCGAGGTCTCTGTGGAAATGTTGAAGAAGGTGGTACGATACCGTGACATTACTGACAGCCATCAGCTCATTGGCTGGCTGTGGCAGAGCCTCGAGGAATTCACCAATGAGGAGAGAGTCCTGTTCCTGCGCTTCGTGTCCGGACGTTCCAGACTGCCATCCAATCCGGCAGACATCACACAAAAATTTCAGATCATCAAAGTTGATCGGGTAAGGCTACTGTCAGGTATAGAATATCCTCTTTATTATATACTAATTAAAATAGATTAAAAAATGAATTATTACATTGAATGAATTTAATTAAATAAAGCTGCATAATTTAATATATATACTTTAGTTAATTACAAAAATTTTTAATTTAACAGAATTGAATGACAACGAATTAGATGTAGACAAATGTGATTTTCTAAAATGAAATTTACTTTTGAATGTAATATTGAAAATTATTTTACTAAAATTCACCCAAAAATGGAAATTTTTAAATGTTGTATTTTCATTTCTTTCATTATTAATGTTTATTTATATAAAAAGGTTGTCAGTAGATTTTGTAACTGAAAATTAAACAAGAAAAAATATTTTATGTATTATATAATGTTATATAATTTTTTAATATTATATAATGAAATTAACTTTGAATATAAAATGTACTAAAATTCAGCCAAAACAGGAACATTTTTAAATGATGTATTTTTATTTATATGATTCTTAATGTTCATTTATATGAAAAGGTTGTCAGTTAGATTTCATAACTGATAGAGACATAGGAAAAATTGTTTAAAGAAATGACCTTTTAAATCTAGAATTTCGAGTTATTTTACTGAAATTCACCCAAAAATGGAAAATTGTAAAGATGTATTTTTATTTATATGACTATTAATGTTCATTTATATGAAAGGGTTGTCAGATTTCAAAACTGAAAAGGGACACAGGAAAAAATACTTTATGGAATTAACTTTTGAATATAAAATGATAATTTAGTAAACAATTATTTTACTAAAATTCACCCCAAAATGGAAACTTTTAAATTATGTTGTCAGTTATTTTGTCAATTGTTGTTAAAAAGTTACAGAAATGGTCACAGTTATTGGCCAGTATTGGCAAATATCGTCCGATCAATCAGCCTAGCTAATTATGTATATGTACTTTCCATGCCTAACGGCAGTATGTGAACTGGGATCAGGCCCAGGTCTTTAGTCTCACTTTGTTCTCTCAACAGCCTGTGAACGGACTTCCTACGGCCCAGACATGCTTCTTCCAGCTGCGCCTTCCTCCCTGGCGACGGCCGGCTCTGCCCACTTTGAGCTTCAAAAACGCTCTTCAGAAACCTACGGGTGACGTCACGGACACTACGTCCATGTTTTTATACAGTCTATGCATTCAGCACGACCAATGTAGCTTGATTACTGAAACAAATGATTCTTAAAGGGGTCATGAACTGCCTCTGTTTTATATTTTGAACTGTTCACTGAGGTCCACTTATAATGTTATCAAGATTTTTTACATCAAAAACATAATTTTGAAGTAATAGGCTATTTTCTGACCTGTTTTTAACCCCTCCCCCCCTCATCGGAACGCTCTGTTTGAATAGGTGTGGCAGATTGTAGAGACAAAGCAATAGTGACCAAGTAACACTTGTGTTGCGACATTGCCGTCGGATCCAATGTAGTCGGCACAGCATCGTCTTTTAGTTTCAATCTTTTTGAAAATCCTGCTTCGAGTTGTGCCTTGTTTGTAAACAAATCTGCGGTAAAATGAAGTGAACAAAGGACCGAGTTCTTACTGACGCGGTCTGGAACTTTATTAAAAATAAAGTTCATCCGCTCTTTCCACTCTTTATGTAGCACCGTGGTCCTGTGAGGCACAACAATTCGTTCCACTGTATGTCCCCACATGTAGCGGAATGACAATAAAGCTCGACTTTCCTAATGTTGGGATCAGAAGGAAGGCAGCACAAAGACTGTGTTTCCACAACTTGGCACTGCACAGCTTCTTGTTGCCTTCAGAGCTAACTTTATAGTTTGATTTCTGCATAGACCTGCGTTTGCCTCTCGTAAACACTATGCGCAAATCGGTGGGCGGAGCTAAACAGGCAGCGATGTAGAAGCAGGCACTGATCTTCTTCTGCAGAGGCGGTGTTTAGCCACACTATTACATCATAGAGTAGAACATTCCGCAATCTGTCGTTTTGGCAGACCGCCTTCAATATAATCTGTTTTTAGACTAATGAGAAAGTTTTGAGTTCTGAAACTTACAGAATGTTTTTATAGTACAATGACCTCTTATATGTCAAAAAATCAAGGGAATTTTGGTTTGTCAGTACATGACCCCTTTAAAGGATAGTCTGCCTGATGAAAGTTCTGGCATCATTTACTCACCCTCATATTGTTTGAAACCTGTATGAGTTTCTTTCTTCAATGTGTGGAACATAAAAGAAGGTATTTTGAAGAATGCTGGTAACCAGTTCCTGGTCCCCATTGACTTACATAGTCATAAAACAGCAACTGTTTAGTTACCAATATTCTTCAGAATATATTCTTTAGTGTTCAGCAGAAGAAATACATTTTTGTAGATTTGGAACAACCTGAGGATGAGTAAACGATGACAACTTTAATTTTGGGTGAACTGTACCTTTAAGAGCCAGTTCTTTTAGGCTAATGAATAATTAATTGGTTGGTACTTTTTACAGTTTTATTTGATATTATTTCATTATGTTTATTTATTTATTTTATAGTAATAATAAGACATGTTTCTTGAGAACCATATTAGAATGATTTCTGAAGGATTACGTGACACTGAAGACTGAAGTAATGATGCTGAAAATTCTGCCTTGCCATCACATATATAAATTACATTTTAAAATATATTCACAGTTAAAATAGCTATTTTAAATTTTAATAATTTTTCACAATATTACTGTTTTGACTGTGTTTTTGGTCAAATAAATGCCACCTTGGTGCGCATAAGAGACTATTTTCACATGCAAGTAAAGTGGACATTATAACTGAAATATACACAAGTGCAAAATCGACTCAAAATCAAAGAATGTAGAGTTTGTTTCAGCCATTAGGACGCATTTGCTGGTCTCTGTTAATATATACGTAATAAAAAAAAATCGTCAAAGTGTATTTCAGAATTTTTTTCAAATCTTCGGTTTTACTGGATAATTAAAGGGATAGTTCACCCAAAAATGAAAATTCAGTAAAAATAATTTACTCACCTTCATGTTGTTCCAAACCTGTATGATTTTTTTTTTCTTTCTGTTGAACACAAAAGAAGATATTTTGGAGAATGCTGGTAACCAAACAGTTGCCTGGTAGCCATTGACTTCCATAGCATTTTTTCCCCCATACGTCAGTGGCTGCCAGCAGGCTGTTTGGTTACCAACATTCTTCAAAATATCTTCTTTTGTGTTCAACTCGTGTAAAACATTTTTAATTTTTGTGGGAACTATATAAGTTATGCATATGAGATTTTTACAGATTCTATCATCCCATGTTTATTTGGACAAATAGGGTTGTAAAAATGCCCCCCCACCTCTAATCCACTAACTGTACTCTATATTCAATTAGCAGCAGGGTCTATCAGATGACCTCATGTAATCACGCTGAGCACTGTCTTATCACGCTGCGATAATTCAGCTGAGCGCAAGCGTATTTTTAGTTTCTTTACTCAATTACAATCCTGTTTTCAGACAAACAAATCATTTATCTCCATCTTTCTTCATATGAATCCCATAACAAAAGCTAATCAGATTATGCTAAGTATTGAAGTGGTACAATCAAACTAAATGTGGTGGAAAACGCGGGCAGAAGGGGCCAAACCGGTTTAAAATCACAGGCCACCGTTAGAACAAAGAGGGGCGTTTCGTTCCCCTCCTGAGATGCTATCGTTTTGATAAATTGTGCATGCCACCCGTCCTCTGAGATGAGAGGAAAGCGATTGTGATAATGAGCATCCTTGACTTGCTCCATTGAATTATGGGAGGAAGTGAAACTCACCACTGATGACTGAGAGGATCAAAGAGAGGAGGGGAAACACTGATCTCAGCTGCTTTGATGCATTCGAGAGCTTGTGTTCATGCAGGTCTGCATGGAGAATCATCAACTCAGGCTGCTGCTGATGGCATGGACTTGAGTTTAACTCGCTGTAATGCATTGGGAAGCTCTTCGGTGTTCAGATCAACACATTTGGAGGTAGCCAGAGTTTTGAGTAACAGCATACAATCTGAACCAATTTGCATCTTGATGCTAGTTCACACTGTCACAACAATCATCAGCAACCGTTGAAAGTTAGTGTTTGTTGGGGACAAAATGTGAACTAGCCTTTATTAATACTGAGAAGCACCAACATAGACATCTGAGACCATTTATTTGATGGACAACCAAGTGATTTGTGTGATGTTTGACGTTTTTATGAATACTTTGAATCAGATTTATTTTTATATTTTTTCTACTTTCATTTTAAAGTTTTAGTCATTTAAAATACTTGTTTTATTTTTATATTTGTTCATATATATTTTATTAAATTTTATATCAGTTTGTGATATTTTGGTACATCAAGTTATACTAAAATAATTTTTTTTTTGAAAAATGCAAAGTAACTGAAGTAAAAATTTCTTTATAATATAATAATAAAAATAATAGTAAAATGTTATTTTATTTGAGGTCATGTTTATTTTTATATTTTATATACAAATTTTATATTATATATTTTTTAAATGTATTAATTAAACCTGTCAGTAATAATTCTAAATAATGTGTAATAATAAATAAATAGATAAGATACTAGATAACTCTGTTTTTAACTATTTTCAGAAATCATGTTTTTTCATTGTGCATTCCCATTAATCTCAATCAAACTGCAGTTGGGTTATTTTGATTAGGTAAAAAATACAGCTTACTAATACAATAAAACACATTATAAACATAACATAATAAAAAACATGACTTTTGAAAATTAAAAAAGCAGAGTTATCTGTTTTTGCAAATAAACTCTTCATATATACATAAATATACATATATACACACACACACACACACATATATATATATATATACATACACACACACACACACACACACACACACACATATATATATATATATATATATACTGTATATGTGTGTGTATATATGTATATATAACATACAAACACGCACGATAAATGAAGTAAAATAAACATTAAAAGAAATAAAATAAAAAGTTTACTTTATTTAAATATTTGTAGTTTATTTACGTATTTTAAATGTTTGTTTATATAAAAATTATATATACTTTTTAAAATTATTACTGTACTTATGTTTAATAATAAATAATTTTCACACACACACACACACACATATTTAATTTACTTTGAAGTAAAATAATTAAAACTAAATTAACTAATAAAAAAAGAATAAAAACGACATTAACATGTAAATAAAAAATAAAATAAAAATGACAAAAAAGACAACAAACTGACTAAAACTTTAACTATGAAAAACAGAAGAAATAAGAACAAACAACAACAAAACATTGGCACACTTGGGCTCCTAGGCTATTTTTCCTGTTGACATTATCAATATTTTTATCAAGCACCCTATTTGAGTGCTTTTCCAGTGATGTGTGTGCTTTTTTAAAATTTTGTTTCTGCTAAAACTTCAACTAAAATTAAAGTGACATTATATAAAAAATATAATAAAAATAAAATATAATTCACGATAGTAACAAAAACTATAATAGTGTTTCAATGATACTAAAGAAACACTGATAGGAGAGAACCTAAAAGTTTCAGTTAAGGGTGATGAAATAGCTGACCTTGTTGTCCAGCTCTGTCGTTATCCCATCTTTTAGTGAATTTTATTGGTTGATTGATGACCTGCACAACTCCTAATTGTACCGCTGTCACTGTGAATTACAGTTTGCTGAATCCGCATCATGAAGCCCATTCCTCAGAATGTTTGTTTGTGCTGCTGGCTGACCTCATTAGGCATCTGTTACTATATGCACGTACCTGTGTGAGATTCCCGCCGCAGTCAGCAGCCTTGCAGCTGGTCCAGGGACGGTGGAGTCGTCAGCTCGCGGCTGTTTTTATAGGGTCATTCATCTATCACGGGCACAGCGCACAAATTTAGAAAGGGCATTGGAGAATGTCAAACCAAAACATTACTGCTGAGCAAGAACTGCACGCATAGAAAGACCAAGAATGAGAAAGAAAGAAATTATTCTAAATAAGAAGTTTCATTCGTGTGTCTGAATCAAATGTGTGATGTGACCCACTCGGCAGTCAGCCCTGTGTCTCTGACCGAAAGAGGCCAGGAAACATAGGTGTATAACGCTGAGGTGCATGAAACTTTGAAATCACGTGGGGAAACAGAAGTGGGTGAGTTCCCATTTATATATCTATGAGAGAAATGAACTCCCTCCAGCATATCGGAGTCATTTATAATCCGTACAAACTACAGGATCTGAGAGAGCGAGAGAGTACAAAAAAGACCAATTTTTGTAGCTTAAAGTGAATGAATGCAAATACTGTATTGCTTAGGGGAGAGTGGGGTAAGCTGTGCTGCACAGTTAATATTTGTCATGTGACCATATATTTCAATAGAACTCATCATAGCTGTCTGTGATTGAGAGATACAAATGTGACAATCATTTATGTATTTAGAATAAATAGATTAATTATTTGATTATCTATGTATTATTACAACAAAGGGCAGGGATAATGTAGTTAACAAAACCTGAAAGAAAATGTGTTACTTTAAAATAAGCATCAACTAAAATAAAATGCAAAACTTATTTTATGTAAGCTATTTTAGTTCATCTACTTTTTCATTTTCATGTGACAGTAAAACTAAAAATGAACTGAAATAAAAATTACAAATTATGTAAACATATTTAAAAATAACGAATGACAAAAACAGAAGTGAAAAATATATGTAAAAAAAAATTTCAATATATTAATAAAAAATATAATAGTATCTCACTGATAGTAAAATAACATTGGCCAAAAGTAAACATGTTTAGGACTAGAAATATATTCAATAGGTGATTTAAAATAAATATATATGTATATGTATATGTATATATGTGTGTGTATGTATATATATATGTATACACTCTAAACCCAGTGCTGGGTAAAATAGGGACAAACCCAGCAATTGGGTTGTTTTGACCCAGCGGTTGGGTTACTACCCAGAAGGCTGGGTTAAATACCAGCATTTTTTTAGAGGGTATATATATATATATAATATTTGGATAAAGTGTATTGATTTTGTTAAAATGCTGTTATTATTACAAAATGCTAAAATTGTTTTATGGAATTCAGAAAACATTTTCCTGGCTGAAATATGAAAAAAAAAAATGTGCATCACAATAAGACTTTGTCTTACATTTAGTATTACATTTAAAGTCATAATTATTTTATATTTATTATATTTTAATATTTTTTATTTGATTTTATTGCTTTGTGTGTTTTTTTTCTACATTCATTCGAAAACAAGCAGCTTGACATATAATTATTAATATAATTATATACGTTTTAGTTTTACCTCTTGCATAGAGGACAACTAAAGTAAATCGTAAAGCACTGCTTGCCCCACTCACACATAAAAAATACCATATTCATGTACCATAACATTTAGATGGAAAAAAGACTGCCAAGAATACTACTACAATCATATTGTATCCGAAATTAAATGACATTTATAAGCATACAGTATCCTCGTATTCCCATCCATGGTACTGCCACAGTACTTGTTGTAAAGGTGGTTTTAAACCTAGGAAGGAAAATTAAATTGCAGCTACATGAGTAAATGAGTCCAGAAGTAATGCAGAAGAGCTACTGGTCATACGTTTATAATGTTCTCTGTATTGGTTTTCTTTATCTCTACACCAACCCATGCAAAGCAAGTTTTAAGTTGTGATTTCATTGTATTTTATTTGCACAGCTGAAGAGGATTTGTGGGTGTTTGTTTGTAAGTCTGCGTGCCTTTGTCATTTGTTCTGTGTGTCCTGAACTTGTGACTGAAAAGCAGGCCACAACTGGATGGAGCTACGAGCGGTCACTATGTGATGTCTTCGTGACATCATCGCTCTCATTGTTTCCAAGGCAACACGGCCGGCTGTGACGCAGGTGATTCGATACTCTCTGCGGTCACATAAGCTAATGTTTACTCGCTGCAGAAGATGCTTTGAAATGTTGGATGCGTCGTCATCTCTTCCACACGCAGTGACAGACACTGCAGCGTGTGCAAGAGCGCTCAGATAGCATGTGTTTGCATAATAAACATGCAAATGCATCGGTATCATAATAGACAATAGTGTTGTGCATGCAGAAATGAAGTCTTGCGTCTGCTCGGCTTCATGCACCGTAAGAAGCCGCATCATAACTGACCCGTGCACAAGGAGTCAACTGCATGTGTGCGTGCATGTCACTCTTTCATCTGTGGGAATGTGATGATGGCTGCTCTTGGTATTGTGCACTAGTGAATCATGTGGTTGTCTGAGCACACCAGCAATTGTTATAGAAATGAACTAATAATGGATCAGATCAGATATTCAAGGCAGAGTCTCTCAACTGGTCTGATCTGAAGGTTGCAAAGAGCAAATGTAAGTAATAAAAATGCAATTAGCCATATAATTGTGCATTGCTAAGATAGCAAAATCATTCGATTTAAAGGAATAGTTCACCCAAAAATGAACATTTGCTAAATCTCGGGCCATCTAAGATGAGTACGTGAGTTTGTTTCTTCATCAGAACAGATTTGGAGAAATGTAGCATTACATCACTTGCTCACCAATGGATCCTCTGCAGTGAATGGGTGCCGTCAGAATGAGAGTCCAAACAGCTGATAAAAACATCACAATATTCCACAAGTAATCCACACGACACCAGTCGAAAAAGTTGCATGTTTGTAATAAACAAATCCATTATTAAAATGTTTTTACCTTCAAACCACTGTTTCTGGCTAAAATATGAATCCATAAATGCTTACTCCAGTGAAAAAGGAGTCTAATCTGAATCGGGAGAGACATATGCGCCGATCAAGCACTGTTTACAAGCTAAAACAGTTTTAAACAAATATATTGGTGAATTTTGATGTGAGAGGACAACAGGGGAGTTTAACATTGGATGAAGTGTTATTATGGATTATGGATTAGGGCCAGATGTGATGGTTTCGAGTTAAAATGCCTTAATGATGGATTTGTTTCTTACAAACACACATCTTTTTGCTTCACAAGATGTTAACTGATGGAGTGGTGTGGATTATTGTGATGTTTTTATCAGATGTTTGCACTCTCATTCTGACGGCACCCATTCACTGCAGAGGATCCATTGGTGATGTAATGCTAAATTTCTGCAAATATTGAAAATATGAGCCAGATTCATTTGCAATGACAATAAAAATGGCGTGCTGACCACAATGCATTTTGTGAGATGAATGAATGGCTGCAGGAAGCATTAATTGTATTTTGTATGCTAGACAATGTCAGTACTGTTTTTGGTAGATTTGACTTGAATTTGATCATTGAAACATGTGTAATATGGGGCCTGAAACAAAACCAGTTGAGAACCACTGATTTCAGACGTCAACTTCATTTACTGAATATAAAAGTTATTAAAAGTGGTTGTCATCTCTAATGTAAGAAATCCTGATTGCATTCACACCAGTTGAGAACCATAGTGGACCTGTTTGGTATTGCTCAGATATTGCTTGGATTTTGCCCAATATTTCCCCTTTTTATATTTTATATGTTTAATTATATATTTATATATCAATTTTGTGTCCACTATGTGCCAGTGTGTGTGTGTGTCTGAGATCTGACCAGATTTATGACTCCTGCCATCTCTCCCAGTGAGAACTGTTAAGTTATTCTCATAGAATGCATAATGAGCTCCTTATTTTATTTATAGAGCCGTGGCGGCAAGAATGCACAGAGGGCCAGAAATAGATGTTGTGTATGCATGTATTAATGTGGTGCTTGATGATTTATTTGTTTAGAATATATCAGCATCATATTTCATTTTACTTATCAGAACATCACCTACTACAGTGCTATTTATGGATCTGTGTTGTATGTCACCTTACAGTTAACTTGCGGAATATGCAGTATATATGCATTGCTGGGTTTGTCCCTATTTTACCCAGCACTGGGTTGTATTTAACCCAGCATTTTCTAGAGTGTAACATCAGTTCCTTTTTGTATGTTTTGTGACCCTGATATGTCATAAGTGGTGAAGCTGTAAAGGTATCAAGCAGTCAATTCAGGCTTGAGTCAATGTCTAAAATGCTCATTTGTTAATGTCTAAAATAGTACGCTGCTGTGCTAAAGTTTGGAATGAGTAAGATTTTTTTTGAAAGAATTAATATTTATTTATTTATTCAACAAGGATGAATTCAATGGATCAAAAATGACAGTAAAAACTTTTAAATAAATGCTTTTCGTTTGAACTTTTTATTCATTAAAGGATACTGAAAAAAATTTATCAATGGTTCACAAAAATAATAAGTAGCAAAAACAGATTTCAGTATTGATAATAAGAAATGTTTCAGCGAATCAACATATTAGAATGATTTCTGAAGGATCATGTGACACTAAGACTAGAGTAATGATGCTGAAAATTCAGCTTTACATCACAGGAATGGGACTTTAGTCTTTGCAACTTTACAGATCTTCTTTATGCACCAAGAGCTTGTAACACTCTAAAGAGAAAGGAAAAAATGAAATCGCATCATATGACCCCTTTAATATATATTGAAATAGAGAATAGTTTTAGAATATTGTAATATTTCACATTTTTAATGATTTTACTGAATTATTGATCTAATAAATTCACATAAAGCCTTGATGAGCAAAAACTCATGCATCCTGTACATTTAAAGTGGTAAAGTGATTATAGAATTTTTGTTTGTTTGTTTTCATATATTTACTATGGATTGACATCCATATTCTGCTATTGTGTGAATGTTTCCACTATTAGTGTTTCTTTGTTCTGTGATGCAGGCCTTATTGCTTTGATTTGAATATCTTACACAGCATGAATAATGAAAGCCTGTGCAATTAATACTGCAGTAGCTTTCCTGTCCAGTAGGGGCCAGTGTGTTGATTGAGATTGAGCTGTGGTTCTCCGTGTTTGTTCCCAGCCAGCACGAGGCCACGGCCTGTTCGCACAGCCCCGTCTCTGGCTCTCATTGGCTAGGCAGGTTCTGGTTCACCTAATCCCCACTGGATCTGCTGTAGCCTACCCAGAGAATGAAAAGACACGGATTAGGTAACATGAAGCAGGTGAAGTTAAAAAGCTTTGTGAGCAAGAAATGAGAGGAATAGGAGAAATCTCTCATGGTATATTCAGCCCCGCCCACTCGGATAATTACAGTAGTGATTGACAGCTGCACTGACCTCTCCTGGCTCTGTGTCTCCTTTCTGATGTTGACAAATGACTCTTCCATCTCCTGTTACCTCATGACAGCACTCAGCAGCCCCATGTGGGCTTTTACCTCATTTGCTCTGCATTGAGTTTACATGTACACCTGCTTACTTGGGTTTCGCAGCAAAGCGACGGACAATAATCTTGGTTATATCGTCAGTAATGGCGTTTGGATGTGATGATTTCTTAAGACGGTAGTAAGTGTGGCTTGAAAAGTGCCTTTTTTCTACAACAATTTCTAGTCCCCAAGGTTTCAAGTTTGAATACATGAAAGTTACTGTAAGCAAACTATACTATAACAAATAACATAAATGTGAATTTAAATCGAATTATGATTATTATATTTATAATCAATATTTAAAACATTATCTTTATTATGGAAAAAAATTATAGATTAAAGTGTATTAAATTAACTTTACTATAACAAATAACACATAAATATACAAGTATTATTTAATTATAAAAAATTTTATTTTGTTTATAATTAATATTTAAAACAGTATCATTAGTATGATTTAAACAAAATTGAAACATTTTAAAAATGATAAAGTATATTTTAAGATATTACGAGATATAAGAAAATGTTATTATTACCATACTAACTATTACTATTACTATACTACATACTATTACTAACAAGTTGTTGTTGTTATTATTATTATTATTATTATTTGTATACAAATACATTTTTTTTTGTATTATATTTAAAGTTTGGTAATTATTATTTTTTACATTATATTTTGTAATAAATTCTTCATATTGCTTTTTATACTACTTTAAATAATAATGATAATAATAATAATAATAACATCTTTTACATAAATTCACACTTACATTGCTTTAGTGTATTATGAAATTGTATTCTATTTTTCTATTCTATTACAGCCATGTGAGTTTTTATACACACACACACATTATATATATGTGTGTGTGTGTGTGTGTGTGTGTGTATATACACACATATACTTATTGATTGACTTTATTTTATTTCATTTTATTTTATTTTATACAAATGACAAAATAGTTATTACAAACTCATTAAAATCCAAGTGATCATGCTGGTGCCTCCTTTGACTCCAGAAGGTTAATGTTGTCTTAATATGGATAACATTTGTAGATTGAGCATATCAAACTATGGAAAAATCGACAATCTGTTCAACATTCCCAGTGAATTTTCTGGTCAAATTTACTCTAGCATCTAGATTTGTTTAGTGAATATTTATCCAGTAACTCCTTGTTTGTATTTCCTGAATTCCATTTGGCCAGGTTTTCAGTCCAAGTATAATGCAAACAGAAATGCTCAATCTAAACTAAACAGACTGTGGTGTTCATAAATTAGTAGCTATCTACATGAAATTGATTAACCGGACATCATTAGCCTGTATAGCCTGATCCGTTTTTACTTGCGTTCCACCCTCTGCTCTGATTCTTTTGTGATTTAAATCAGTTTTTCACGAGTTTCCAGTAGGGGAAGGTTGTAAAGATTGTTTTATTTGGGTTTCCTGAATCTCTGATGTGATACTTTTAGACTAATTAATTCCCAAAGCCGTTGCGTGCCTGAATTTCCCAATGGAGCACAGCAGAAAGTTTTAGATCGCTAAAAATATTTGCAACATTAAGAGGAACAACATAACAGTTTTAATCATGCTTCTCTGATATTCTGATAAGACTGCAATTTACAATACATAGTATAAATTCACCCTTTTTTGTATATTATATAAAATTATTACTTTATAATAAATACATTAAAAAAATTTTTTTTTTAACTCTTTGTGTTAATGCCACTTCCTGTGATGTCATTAGAATTCCTTCTGAGTTTCCTGTGCCGTACACTGCATGAGTGTGACCTCAGCAAACAGATCACACAGCTGTGTTTAAACGTGCAGTCACAGGCTTTATTTCCAGCGCTAGTTCAATTTGCATGTCTTTGACCCACAGCATTATTTTCTCTTTGAGCTGCCAACCACTGAATTGAGTTGTGAAAGGTCACTGAATTACAGCGAGAGCGAGTGTGAGGTTTGAGCGTGTGTCTGTTATCTGGAGTTGTTATTGGCGTGTATATAGGCGTGCAGCTCATGCATTGAGGCCGCAAGTCTTGCTGCTTTAAAGGTGAACTTGATTTCTCTCCAGCTGGGTCTAAATAAAAGAGGAAAAGAGAGCTATAGAGTGAGAGAGATATTAAAAAGAGGGAATAAGAGAGGGGGTTCTCCCATTCCTAGTACTCTCTATCTCTCTCTCTGTCACCCTAAAACTATGCATCAGTCTGTGACATAGACTGTATAAAAACATGGACGTAGTGTCCGTGACGTCACCCATAGAGACCCGTAGGCGCAGGCGGCAGTCGCCATCTTGGCAGCGCGTCACCACGCGTCATTCCCGGATAATCGAAAATGGGCAAAGAGGCGGGAGCAGGTTGGTGAAGCCACGCCCACCTAGCTCGACAGTGGTGACAGCAGCGGCAATCCACCTGTCACTCAAGTGGCCATGCCCTTAATTATGCAGAACTTTAAGGCTTAATATAATTTAAACGGATGAGTTACAAAAAAATTCACCCCCCTCACAGTTGTCATGAAGGGCAAAATTAGCTATATAGACCAAAATCATTTTTTGAACCAGGCTGTAAACATGTTTTTTTCTGCTGTAAAGTTGGGCATTTTAACATGGGGAGTCTATGGGATTGACTCCCTTTTGCAGCCAGCCTCTAGCGGCCAGTTGATGAATTACAGTTTAAGTAACTTCCTTGTTGGCTTCACGAGAGAGAGCGGGAGGTTGCCGCTTGGTCTGTGAGTGCAGCCATATGAGGTTAAACTACCCTGAAAGCTGCTCTGCGGTGGTTCTGGAGTTTGATCCTGTGCTGAAGTTCCATCCATCATCATACGGCACACTGCACAGTCATAGACAGAGAATGAGTTGTGAGGATTTGTTGTCTAGGACTTTCTGGAGTGTGACGGTGCTGTCGGTACCGGGGTGACAGACTTCTGTATCCCTGTGGGTCTGATCCTGGACCGATGATGATCGTCGACCGACTGGAAATTGGACACATCAGTCCTGCTCAAATGCATGAGTGTTCCTGTCTTTGACTCTGGTCCATCTGATATACAGCTTCCTGAGGAGCCAAGTGAAAAAATCACATTCAAACTGTATTTGTAATGCGCTGCCATGTGTTTATAATGGTAAACACTTGTATAGACAACACATGATTTCAACATTTTAGTTTTGTTTCTGAGAGTATACACTGAAGCGGTCTATAAGGCTAAGTTAAACTCTTACTTACATTGTATTTGCAGCTGTTGTTTATGATGATAGAATTTGCGAATAAACTAAAGGCCTGTTCACACCAAGGACGATAACTATAAGGTAATGATAAATATATAGTTCTAAAAATCGTTCTCAGCATTTAAGAATAGCAGAGTCCACACCACAGCTATAACGATAAAGGCACAGAGAAACGATATCTTTGGATACACTTTCAGACCGATTTTTTCCTCCAGCTGATGGCTGATGACACCCAATCAGAATCGATCCTGCTATAACAAGCTCCAGAATTTAAAGCGGCAGACGAGTGTGCGCTTAGAATAAATAGACGATATCATCCACTGGTGTGGACGCTAATATCGTTATCGAACGGGCCTTAAGAATTCCGAATTCATTCAGTGAGTGCGTGGGCGCTAAACTCCGGTGATTTCAGCGCTGACTAATCTAAACACCTCTGATTGGTCAATGCGTTTCTAAGCTCAACAGAAACAAGTGTGATTGGTTGCAATTGGTGCAAAAACGCATAGAAAGAAATCGGATCCAAGGTAAACGGAGGTAAATTTAATGCCGCGAATTGGCGCTTTGCATTAATTTTAACATTTTATTTTAATCGTGACAGCCGTAAATATATTTAGTTTAATTATGCAGGTGCATTTTCTGCCCCATTATCTTGAATTTGTGGGGCATTTTGTTCATTTTTATCATAATTTTTGTCACAAGTCCCCGTTAATTTTAATCAATATTTTTAACTTACCTTTATTTCCCCCCTTTGCTTTCCCCCATTTTTGAACATTTGGTTAGTTATTGATATAATTTATTTATTTATTATTTGTTTGTTTGTTTGAAATTAATACTATCATTCAGCAGATTAATTTAATTGACCAAAAGTGATGACATTTATAATGTTACAAAAAGATTATATTTCAAATAAATTTCATCAAAGAATCAAAAATATTTATGTAGGTTTAAATAGGTTTTTAAAGAAATATAAAGCAGCACAACTTTTTTTTTTAACATTGATAATAATAAGACATGTTTATTGAGCAGCAAATCAGCATATATGAATGATTTCTGGATCATATATATTTTTTTAAATGCTGTTTTTTTGTTTGTTTGTTTTGTTTTTTACGACATTTTTTTTTAACAAATACATTCAGCTTTGGTGAGCAAAAGAAACTTCTTTCAAAAACATTAAAACATTTTACCGACTCCAAAGTTTGTTTAGTCTCTAGCACACATCTCTCGGTGCGTTCCAAACGGGATATATCGCCCTCCGAAGGGCACTTCGGAGTGAAAACAATCATGTCCGCCATATTGAAGGGTCGTTCCAAACCGAAGTGCTCAAAAACTGTCCACTTCAAAGGGCCCTTCGGAATGAAGGATTTCGAAGGGTACAACTGATGGACACTTCGGGCCCCCATGATCCTTTGCGCTGATTCTTTGCATGATGACGGTGTCTCCGTGTGGGCACGTAATGATGACGCAGAAGGGCACTTCAAGAAACAATTGTTTGGTCCCCTACACCCTTCAGCCCTTCGAAGCTCTCACTACAGAGGGTAAACCCTTTGAAGGGATTAGGGCATATGGATGAGCCCTTCCGAATGGAACGCAGGGTCTATCTTTGCTTTGCATTGTCCTTTGCATGATGTGATTTATCACAGTGCTAGTTGGTTTGATTCACGACTGTCGTGACCTATGACCTTTCACCTCAATCTTTGACCCCAGAATGACACCTCTGTTTGGTCCCAAGAAATTCAAGATTCACCCACAACCCTCAGCTTTCTCTTGATCAAAGTTTGTTAAAGTAAAATTGCTTCTCGATCGCAGTCAGCACTTTCCGCAGTTCAGTCTTCTGTCATAGTAGCTGCAGACTGATTGGAAAGGCTTTCCAAATATTTCTCTCTCAGCATGATGAAATTACCAGGGATGGAGGACGCAGCGCTAACAGTCCCCTCCGTGAGATAGTTTCTTTTTTGAAGTGCGTTGTGCCGAGGCAGGTCTCTGCTGCATATATGCTTCATCCCAAATTGTTTTTCAGTGTCGGTTCTTAAGTGGTGCGAGGCGGATTCCTAGCGCTGCTGTTTCTTGCTTTACTGTTAAGAGGGAAGGTTGAGATTGCTCCCTAATTCCTTCACCGTCGAGTTTTATTTGAATATCTGCCATGAAAGCTTTATTGATTTCTTTATTTTCCTCTCGCACATTTTGTCTTTGTTGTTCTGTGTGGTAGTGGTTTTTCCTCCACACATCCCCAGCCATCCGTCTCTCTCTGTCTGTCTATCTCTATGCATATTTACAAGTATATTGGAGGAACTCTGTTGTTCTTGTGCTTTCTCAAATCCATCTGCTCAAAAAGTGTTCTGAGTCAGCGTTATACGAGACTGTAAGTGTGTTCTTATTTATATAAGTGTGTGTGGAGGTGTAGACGTTGTGTGTGAGAGGGGAAAATACATTGATTGAAGGAAAGAACAGTTTGAACTTATTACAGCCCCAGTGTCTGAAACACAAACGCTTTACAGCTCTGAATGCCCTGAAGCACATTATGCTCATTGTTGTCAGCCACACACTCACTAAAATCTCTCTCTCTCTCGCTCTCTCTCTCTCTCTCTCTCTCAATTTCAATTTAAGAGTGCTTTATTGGCATGACAAAAATTATACATTTGTATTGCCAAAGCAATTGCAGCTGGACTGCTTACAAATAGTACACATATGTATTAACAGAAAGAAAAAGATTAATAATAATAGTAATAATAATATATAAAAAGGATTAAGCATGTAGTGCAAAATGAATTACTAATGCAAGTTTTGATATATTTACGGTAGGAAATTTACAGAATATCTTCATGAAATATGATCTTTACTTGATACCCTAATGATTTTTGGCATAAAATAAAAATCTATAATTTTGACCCATACAATGTATTGTTGGCTATTGCTACAAATATACCCCAGCGACTTAAGAATATATTTCTTGAATAAATACATATATTATGTAACACAAATTTTTATTTTGGATGTGATTAATCATGATTAATCGATTTGACAGCACTAATAAAAACATAATTTTATAGATAATTATAAAAAATATTATCATGACCAAAACTAATGTTGTTCTTTTTTTGTGTGGAAGTGTTTGTGTTTTCAACAGTGCCATTATATGAATCATGCTGCTCCAGTGAGATTGTCTGTGTAATGTTCTCTGCTACAGGAAGGGGCTCATAGAGCTGAAAATCTCTTTGGAACAGCACACTCGAATCAAGAAGCAAAGAAATAAACCCAGATCAAACAAGAGAGAAGATGTGAAGATAGAAAACATGAGGGAAAAATACCCAAATTACGTAAGTGCAGTATAATGAAAGAACATGTATATAACAATATATAACAATATCCCACAATAAACTGGGATTATTTACTGTATGTACCAAGCTAATACTTACAGTACAAAATAAATGGCACTTTTATCACACTTTATAAGGATATTTCCAGAAATAACCTCTGAATGAGAAGCAGGACAAGCACAGCAACCCAGATTTGATTCAAAGAAAATAACAGACTGCAAAGCCGACAGAAACACGGGAAGTCACACCTTCCTTTAGCTTTTTTTGTACGTGTGCACGGCTTTGTATTAACGCACCCTATGGAGTGATCGTATGTTCCCTACCATGGGGTTTCAAGAGGGATTGAGAGAGTGAGAGACAGAAGGAGAGAAATAGGCCTAATTTTGACTGATGATTAACAGTTTTTCTTTAGAAATAACTTGTTTACAGTTAGGCCAGAAATATTAAAGAGATATTCCTGATTCAAGTTAAGCTCAGTCATGTTGATTAACACGTTTGTATAATTTGAACTGTAAAGTTGTTTAAAATATTTTTTACAGTTATTTTATGGTTTATGCATCTATGTTGCCATGGCAACAAAGTTATTTAAAGGGGTCATATGATGCTATTTTAAAGATCAGTATTTTGTGTATTTGGTGTAACAGAATATGTTGACATGCTTTAATGTTCAAAAAACACATTATTTTTCAAATACTGTACATTATTGTAGGTCCTCTATGCCCTGCCTCTCTCAAACACTTCGTTTTCAACAAAGCTCCCTCCTCAAGCGCAGTCTGCTCTGATTGGCCAGCTGACCCAGTGCATTGTGATTGGCTGAACACCACAAGCACGTGTCGGAAATGTAACGCCTCTTACCATAATCGCAAGCTTCAGCTTTCAAAGTAAAAATCAAGACAGTTAATAATGTCGTTAGTTTTACCATCAGTTCATCATACGACCCCTTTAAGTAAATCAGATAACTTTATACATACACACACACACACACACACACCTTTTATCACCTAAATCGTGATAAAACACATACTGTTCACGCTTTGTGGTTATGCTATTAAAACTGTGAATATATTAAGGTTTTCAAATTGACTTCCATTTCTAAGTCTCACTGTAACCCAGATTTTTGCTTAAAAAAGAAACAAACAAAAAAGAAAAGGAAAGAGAGTCAAAAGAATTGAAGGGTAAATGTAATTGCTTATATAAAATAAGGTTCACATTAGTGCTGTCAAACGATTAATCGCATCCAAAATAAAAGTTTTTGTTTACATAATATATGTGTGTGTACTGTGTATATGTATTATGTATATATATAAAGACACACACATACAGCATTTTCTTAAATATATATACATGCATGTGTGTGTGTGTGTGTATATATATATATATATATATATATACATACATAATAAATATACACAGTACACACAC